TGGGCCAAGCTTGAAGAGGTGTGCGGGACGAGAGTGGAGCCAGCCTGTGAGCCACTCCTCGCAGGACGTCGGCAGAGGGACTTCTCTATGCCTCAGCTTCTGTACCTGAGAAATGGGGGGTGAGGTGGGGTCATACTCCGTAACAGTTCAGGAGACCGCAGTATTGGACTAGGTCCCGATAGCGCGGACTAGAACAAAGCTGGACATGGGATCAACTGCAATCCCTGAGGCTGAGGAGGCCGAGGCAGGAGAGTCACAAGTTTGAGCCCTGTGTCAAAATAAAATGAGCTGGGGATGTAGCTTGGGACCCAAGATTCAATCCCTGCACCACCAAAAAAATAAATTCAGTCACTTGCACAAATTCTGCATCACCAAGCCAAAGCTAAGTTGCCTGCCTGACCTTCCGAGAAATCAGCAGAGCAAAAACCAGTACAGGGGCCAGGGAGGTAGCTCAGTAGAATAAGCGCTTGCCTGGCAAGCGCAAGGACCTGAGTTCAATCCCTGGTTCTGCAAAAAAAAAAAAAAAGCCAGTACAGCACCGCATCAGGACACAGCCCGGTGTATGGAGCTTGCCTGGTTCTCCAGTCAAGCAATAAAGCCACTCGGAGCCAGGCATGGTGGTTCACACCTGTGATCCCAGCACTCAGGAGGCCCAGGCAGGAGGATCGTTGGGAGTTCGAGACCAGCCTGGGCTACAAAGTGAGCTCAAGGCCAGCTTGAAGGAACTGCATAGGGAGACCCTGTCTTTAAAAGACAAAGCAAGCAGGTCAGTCAGCCATGCAGGTCTTTAGGCAGAACTTCCTGGCTGGCCGTGACCCCCTTTCCATAAGCACCATGCGCCCCAGCCTCCCAGGTCCTAGTACACTCCTTCAGCGTGGGTCCAGGTCTGTCCTGACCCCCGCAGGCCAAAAGGAGGCGCCCCTCTCCCGCCCCGTATGCTCTTGGCACTAGCACACGCCCAGCAGGCTCTTACTGAAGGGCCCATTCCGACCTTGAGACAGGGCCTGGCTGCCCAGGTGGGGCTCCTTTAGGACACCGCAACACCTCTCCTCACTTACTTGAGGAGCGCGTAGGAAACAGCTTCAGGGCAGGGAGAGCTCCACTCCAAGGCACCTGAGTGGGGTGCGCAGGAGGGGCTGGCTCTGGGCCGTCCAGCAGGGGGATGCCTCTGGGTAACACTTTGTGGTGAGACCGCAGTGAGGCAGAGGCACAGCCCTGAGATCAAGGAGGGGTGTTTCTGGCAGAGGAAATGCGCCCCCAAGTCCTTCATCATGGGGCTCCCGTCACCTGCCCAGGCTCACCACTCCTCCTCTGTGGACACGGTGGTTTTCTTCCCTCTGTGGCTCCAGCAATCAAACCCTGAGCCTCTTGCACTTGAGGCAAGCAGTGCAGCACTGAGCTGCACACCCAGTCCTTTTTCTTTTAAATTTTACTTCAAGGTAAGGCCTCAGTAAATTACCCAGGCTGACCTGCAACCCAAGATCCTCCTGACTCAGCCTCCCCAGTGCTTGGATGACAGGCGTGCGCCACCACACCGCCTTCCTAGAACTGTTAACACAGCAGAGCACACGCTGTAACCCAGCCACTCGGGAGGCTGAGGCAGGAGGATTGAGGAGAGTTTAAGGCTGTTTCAAAAGAGAAGAAAAAAGTCACACCGGCAGCCATGCATAGCGGCGCTCACAGCAGCACAGCTAGCACTAGCTGCATCTTGGAAGCAACTGTGTGACCACCAGCAGAAGGGTGGATAAAGGAAACGCGGGGCTCTGTGCAGTGGAGCACCACACTGCCACAAAGAAGGCAAATCTGAGTCGCTGGTAGGCAAATGGCTGCACCAGGAGTCCGTGATGTTAAGTGAATCCGACCCGTAGTGTAAATATCACGTGGTTTCTCTCACATGAGAAACAAACTATGGATAAGGTGTAAAATGAAATATCAAAGGGGAAGGAGATCGCGAGATGGAGGGTGGGAGGGCAGAGGGGAAGAGGGCTGGCAAAGGGACTAAGGCAGCTGCGTGCATGTGCCAACTCCACGCAGGCGTGACCATCGTACCCTGCAGACAAGGACTAAAAACATGATTTTCTTAAAGTCTTTCTAGCCAGGCGTGGTGGCACACGCCTATAATCCCTGCACTGGGATTGCTCGAGGCCAATCTGGGCTACAACGTAAGCTCAAGGCCACACTGAACTGCACAGCGAGACCCGGCCTCAAAAAGACATGATGAGCTCGCTAGGACGCGGCAGGGCCTCGCGCGGACGCTCGCCGAGCACGAGCACGAGCACGAGCACGAGCACGAGCACGAGCGAGGCCCTGGGCTCCGTCGGCTTCCGGCTGCTGGGAATCCCTTCTGGGGGCGCCCGCACCGGAGCCTGGGCGCGGGGGCGAGACGGCAGGCCCGGGAAGGCCGGCCCGGTTCTGACCCTGCTCGCCAGACCCGGTGGGCCCGGCGCCGCGCGGGCACGCGGAGAACGCTGGACGCAGGCGGCGTCGCGAAGGCGGGGACCGCGCTTTGGAGGCGCCCCGCGCGCGTCCGCCTCAGGAAACTTCACACTGGGGGTCACGAAGGAGGCGCGGCCAGCTCCTGCCAGGTCCCAGGTCCCGGGCGCCGAGGCCGCCTGGGGTGGAAGCCGGCCGTGGGCAGCCCGGCGACCTTAGGGAGTCAGCGGCAGCCGGGCGTAGCTTCCCCGCCGGGTCCTCTAACACCTCCCCTTTATGACTTTTTGGCGCGAAGCCGCGAACTACATTTCCCATCGTGCCCCGCGCTGGACGTGTGGGCCCCGGATCGCACCCCCTCAGGCCCCGCGCGCCCTCGACTTCCCGCCCGCCCACCCGCGGCGCAGTGCGCATGCGCCCTCCACGCCCGCGGCGCCCAGCCCCAGCGTGACCCGCCCCGCGCACGCGCAGGCAGCAACCCTACGCCCCAGAGTTAAGGCGCGGCTTTGGCGGCGCCTTTCAGCGAAGTCGCACGTGAAGTATACAGTGGCGGGAGCCGGGTAAGTGAGGGCCGAGGCTAGGCTGGACGGGCAGGGCGGCTGCACACGTGGCCGGAGTGCTGCGGCCCCGCGAGGGGAGCAGGGCGGAGCCGCGTGGCCTCGAAACCGGAGCGGGGAGGGGGTCCTACGTCGAGTGGCGGGTCCTGCCCCTGGGACCCGGATCCTCGTTGCTACGCAACCGGGGCGGCGTTACTAAGTAACTGGAGGCGCGGGTTTCTCAGATGCTGAGGATGCACGTGCTGAGGGAGAGGTGCCGGGCGCTTTGGGGCGCTGCCCTCCATGCACTGAAACCCGACCTCCGCGCCGGAACCCCCAGCCCTGCCTCGCTCCCCGCGGGGTTGCGCTTACCCCGGTCCCAGCCCGTGGGTCGCCCAGTGGCCCTCGCCTGCCCGCAGCGCAGCCGCTTGGCAGGGACTGCTGTCTGAAATAGCACATGCCACTGACACCCCGCCCCGGAGCCCGGCCCTTCGGAGGACGGCAGGGCTGCCTGGGTGCCCGCTGCCTCCCGTCCCGGACAGTTGCTGGGCCACGATTGTCAGAGGCTTAGCCGGGGGTTGCCCGACCTGCCAGGACGCTAACTTCATCCTGCTTGCAACCAGCCAAGCTTTTCTGGTGGCCACTTATGTTTGGATCCACTGTTAAAATAACCACCCTCGTCCGACCGCTCCGTGGCTCTCTTACACTAATTGCTTTTTTTATTTTTTAATGTTACTCATTGCTTCTGAGGAGCCTCTGATACTCAGCGTTTGTGAGTTATCTTTCTGTTCGCGGTGTTGGGGATTGCAAGAAAAGTTAGTTACAGGTTGGGTTTGCTGGCCAGGTGGGGGTAGTCTGGGAATACATTGCTACATGCTGGTACAATGCAGTGGCACATGTGCGGGCTGGTGTCTTCTACAGGTGTTTACAGAGCGCTGGCAGAAACACAGTGACTCCTTGCAGCAACCTGGCTTCACCCAGTATTACGTTTGAGAAAAGTGAAATTCAGGAGCTTAAGTAACAGAGTGGCTTAAGCCTGGCGTGGGAATGCTCACCTGTAACCCCGCCTGTGGCACTTGGAAGCAGGAAGCCCGGTTTGAGACCAGTTTGGCCTATGTGGCAAGTCCCTGACCCCAGAGCAACAACAAAGAAAGAGCTGCTGTCTTTTTGTTTGTGGGTGAATTGAACCCTCAGTGTAAGTCTAGGGTCCTCTGTCACTGCTGCACTTAGGCAGCTTTGCCTCTAGCACTGCCCCCAGGGCTGCTGGCCGTTTGTGGCACCCGTGTGGTTGTATCTCCTGGATCCCTGGGGAGCTTCTTACACAAAAGGCCGAACTCCTGTCTGGAGGATGGTGAGTGAACAGTCTTGGGGGGCTTCCTTCCTGAGCTCCCCACTGCCCTACAGGGACAGCCCCCTAGTCTGTCATGACTCACAGCCTGCCCCACCCTGGTACCAGACCACAGCTGACCCCATAGTTCATGCTTTGCACCGGCCTAGTGAGGAAGGCGGTTTCCCCAGCCCAGCTGCACCTGCAGGACCTGCCTGAGCAGAAGCGGGAGGGCTGTCCCTCTGTTCTGTCATCTCCGACCTCCTGGCATACAGCACCCGGACCTGGAAGAGGCTCTCCTCCCAGACTTCCAGCTCTGTTGACGTTTGGCGGAACTTTAAGCCTCTTGTGTGAGGCACATCGGGATGGGGTGGGGTGAGAAGAAATAGAATCCTAGTTGTGCTCTGGGACTGGGTCGGCACAGGCCTCTCTAAGCCACACTTGTCGGATTGAAGTAGAGGGGACTGAAATGCAAGACTGCTACGAGCTAAATGAGACAGCAAAGTAATAAGCACTTTGTAATTACAAGGCACCTCACAGAAAGCTTTATGTGTGCAATAAATAAAAATTGTTATGGTCCAGTGCCTACTCTTTGTCTGAGATCAGGCATTGTAAGAGTTGAAAAAGTATAAGCCAGACTTCTACCTCTCAGAGGCTGAGACTGATTCAGGTTTGGATTATCATGACCTTTTTCTTATTAAAGGATTTGAAGCCAGGCATGATGTCGCACACTTGTAATCCAGCACTTTGGAAGGCTGTGGCAGAAGGATTGCAATTTCAAGCCCAGCCTGTGGGCTAGAGATGGAGCTCAGTGCCAAGGCCCTGGGTTCAGTCTTTAGTACTGCTGAAAAAAACCCTTAAAAACATTTGATTAGGCCAATGTGAGGAGACAGCGGTGGTGGGTCGGGGCCTGTAGCCTGAGCTTGACCCGGAAATAATGAGCACAAGTCCTGCTAGAGAGCAGCTCTGAGAAACTGGCCGGCTGGCCATCCAGGCTCATTTTGTCCAAATGCCACCCCTGGCACCTTACGGGACTTGGTTACTCATGCACATCAGAGGGTCGCCTGGCTCAGGGCAGGTGGCCACCCGGAGGGTGAGGCTGGCACAGAGTGAAGCAGGCCTCTCTGTGTGGGAGGCGGTGGCCCTGTCACCCTGACCTGGGGTAGGGGAGGTGACATCTGATTCCTCCTAGTGGAGGCCCTGGGATGCAGGAGCCAACCCAGGACAGCAGCCCCGCACTGTGAGGCCTTAGCGTGGTTGTGGCTGTGGTTGTGCCCCGCAGTGCTCAGGGACTGACCTCATCTCCGGCCCTGGCAGGCAGGAGCCATCTGCTTCTTGCCCGGTGCCAGCGAGAGTAGGAGGCTTCCCTGCCCAAGGCCAGTCCAGAGGACTACAGGTTTTGCAGCCTGCTTGACTGCCATCTGGCAGCAGCAGGCCAGACAGCACCCAGAATGTAATATTTTTAGAAGCCTTTTTTTGGAGCACTTTCCTTCCCAGTAAGCAAGAATGAGAACACCCTTCTCTTCCCTCTCTGCCTTCTCCATAGCTGCAGCATTCTGGCCTACCAAGGGCCTTGGTAACTGTTGGCTGTCTCCAGGCCTTGTCTGACCTCTGATCCTCACTCAGGTCGAGTTTCTGCAAATGCCCAGGAATCCAAGTCATTTCTCACCAGGAAAGGAGGGGATTCGCTGGCGCTGTCTGACCAGCACGTGGCTTCAAACACAAGGTGGACCTGCCCACGTTCTGCCTGGCTGATGCTCGCTTGCCTAGGCGAGCTGGTGCGTGTTGGGTCTTAACTTGTCTTGAGCATCAAGTTACGGATGGATCAGAGCAGCAGGTGTCAGGTGGAGCCGTGGCTCGCCCCGCTGGCTGTGGAGGCCCAGTGCACTCTGGCGCCTGTGATCCATCGCCTGGCTTTCTGCATCACTTCTGAGACCTCTGTCGGAAACGCACAGCAGAGCAGTTACGTGTGGGTGCAGCGTGGGGTGCACCTGGAGCTGCCCCGGGCTTCCCTTTCCTACTTAGAGCTCCTGCTTTCTCCAGGTGGGGTTCAAGGAGAGGTCATTCAGGCCAGACCAGCCCACCTGGTGTGACTCAGGGCAGTTCTCTAAGCCTTGCCTGTCAGGGGCAGCAGTGGAGCTCCTCATGCCACAGTTGAGACTGCGTGTCGTGTCTCTGTATGTGACGATGTGTGTACACTTGTGGTGCTTCGGTTTCCATCACACTGCCTAGCGCACAAGTCCTGTATCCCCAGCGAGGGTTCTTGGGTTCCAGCATGCAGCGTCTTCTGCAGATGAAGACACAGCTTTTATTTGTACCAGGTCTTTCAGACACACCTGGGTTTGTGCAAACACAGCCCTGGGGAGTGGGGGCTCCCTGGCTACCAGGATGATGAGGGGCTCATGCCAGGGGAGCCAGGCCTGCGCCCTGGTTTGTGAAGGAGGGAGCTGACGATTTGGTTGGGCAGCCAACATAATGTGTCTCTGGAGCGCATGGGGTTCAGAGTACCCCTGGTAGCCAGCATGCAGTGACTGGGTAGGGGGTACCCCTGGAGAGCATTTAGCTCCCCTCCCTGGCCGCCTTCCTCTGGGGTTCATCAGCACCCTTAGGATGAACAGCAAACGAATGTTTCCCTGAGTCCTGGTGACGCTCTGACAGTGAGTGCAACCAGAAAAGGGCTGAGGGAAGCTGGCAGGCAGAATGCAGGCAGCCGCAGCGGTGGTGATGCTGTGTGGGGGTGGCCAGCAGGAATCTCCACAGGGGTCCCTCCTGGTCACAGCAGCCTGCTGTAAAGACGGAGTGACAGGAGAAACTGAGTTGGTTTTACCTGGGTCCTTGCAATGGCCCTCTGCTTTGTGCAGTGGAATGGGGTGGGAAGCTTTCTAAGTCCAGGCCACCCCCAGACAATGATGTCAGAGCCTCAGGCTTGGGACTCACACATGGGAACTGTGTGACCCCCCAGGTGGTCCCACAAGTGTCCTGACCAGCGAGTGCGGTGTAGGAGGCAGAGGCTTGATGGCCTGGCCTGCATTTCGCCTAGTCTCCAGCTCTTCCTACTGGGGCTGTGAGGAGGAGGCCACAGCCTGTGTCCAGGCGCTCTGCACGCACTCCTTCCCCACCAGGCGGGGCAGGCCAGTCGGGTGCTGCTTTAGACCGTTTTTACATCAGTTTAGGTAGATGCTGCGCTGCCCGAGACAGGGTCTGAGCGTGAGAGTCGCAGAATTCCCTGGGACCATAGCACCTAAGTTATCAGGTGTTTAGAGTCGGGGTAACCTTCAGCGAGCACCTCTAAGCTCCTTGACTAGTGCCCATCTGCTGATTAATATTAATATGAAGGCGGGAAGAAGAACTTCGGGGAGTTGGTTCCGACCCCAGCTGCCATATTCTTCCCCAGACCTGGCATGGCAGCCCTGGGGGGCCATCCAGCGCAGGCCACATGCGTGCTCAGAGCCAGCCTGGCGATCCTCATGGCCCTCGCCCTCCTGCACGGAGCCTGGTCCCAGCCTCACCAGGACTTTGCGCCACCAGGCCAGCAGAAGAAGGAGGCCTCTCCTGACCCCCTGACCCAGCTCGGGCGAGCGCTGCGGGGGACCCTAGACAACTGGCTGGGCCGGGAGACCATGCACCTGGTCTCAGAGGTGAGGAGGACGAGCCCTGCGGGGCAGTGTATGTGAAGCACAGAGAAGAGAGGGCCATCCTTAGCTTGGGGCAGAAGCCTAGGCGTCCAGAACTCTGAGTTCCACACTCAGCAGCCTTTTGCTTTCTCGGGCTCTAGGGCCGCTTGGCCCTGCCCTGTCCTCCCTGGCTCCTCCCTTTCTCAGCCCAAGGCCTGGGAAGTGCACCCATTTTGGAACCACTGGTGGGCCTGGCCTGACTGGCAAGGGATCCAGACCAACTGTGCCTGCCTATAGAGGGCAGGCGGCTGTCCTGCCTGGTGGCGAGCTTAGGCCCACACTGACAGGTGGTGAAGACCGAGGTAGGCAGAGAGAACGTTCACAGCAGTGCTCAGCTGCAGACTCCTCCCGGTGCGCCCTCAGGGCCCCACTGCCAGGACACACTGGCCAAGGTGCAGGCGCCCTCCCCACAAGCCTGGCCCAGCCAAGCAGCTTGCAGGAGAGGTGCTGGGCTCCCTTGGGGCTCTGCTCACGTGTACTCTTCCCACAGACCCTGTCACAGGTGACATGGGCCATCTCCTCGGCTGTCTCGGTGGCCTTTTTCGCCCTGTCTGGGATTGCAGCTCAGCTCCTGAACGCCCTGGGGCTGGATGGTGAGTGAGCAGACTGGTGCACTCCTTCACCTCGGGAGTCTCCCATCCCAGGCTGTGCTGGAGGTGTGGCCAGAGAGGAGGCTGCAGCCCCCACCTGTGTGGGACCAGGTGTTTACCCTCCACCTGTGTGGGACCAGGTGTTTACCCTCCACCTGTGTGG